AATCAAAGGATTTTCTTTTTGTTAATCCAGTAGCCAAACTAGAAAATCTGTTTCCAAGCCACGCTAAAATCAAAGGATTTTCTTTTTGTTAATTCAGTAGCCAAACGAGAAAATAACAAGAGAAGATTCTTCCAAGCCACGCTAATATAAATGGATTCTCTCTCTCTCTCTCTCTGTGCATCTTGTAACCGAATCCAGTAATTTTAGCTGTAGTAATAATAACATAAAAGCTTACAAATTATTATCACTGTAGTTTCTAACCCGATGTTTTATAATTATTGATGTATATTATAAGATAACATTTTTATCGCTACCACATGTTTCTATTTTCTTGTTTAGATAGAGCTATTTTTCCAGATTGTACATCAAAGCGAGAAAATCAGACTATTACGATTGTTTACAGAGAAGAAAGGCAATAAAAGCTATTATTTATATGCACATGCTGTATTTAAGAAATTAAGCAGAAAAGTCCCTTGTACCTTAATGATCGTTGATTCGCTTTATTCTTTAACATCTAGAATCTGTTGTTGTTGTTTTATGGAAGCGCATGCGCACGTTCTGGTTCTGCTAATGTTAAAACACTCAAATCTTCTTAATAGAACTCTAGCGAGTTAATATTTTCGTTGTTCTAATAGCTATCTAAACACACAGTACCTACAGACCAACCACATTATTCATATTTGATGGCGTATAATCAATCAAGTTACGTAGAGTCTGCTTAGAAAGTGCAATTGAGTTAAAATGATTTTTTTTTCGTCATCATTTCCATTTCTCCGAGAACCATAAATCACACGAATGCATGTTTCTAGAGAAAAATATCTATTAGGGTATCGAGTCATTCTATCTATCTGACTCATAAATAGATGCGTGTATCTATCTATCTATCAGTTGATCTGTTTATTTGATGTCACTACTTCTAATGACGCAGACACCAAAGGGGAAAACGTTATTTGAAAAGTTTGGGCTCTAATATTTAGTATTAGATACCTACCTCCTGAAAGACCTAGACAATGTATTTCGTATAATATACAATGATATGACCCTGTAGTTAACCTGCCGGACTGCGAATCTGTGGGTCCTGTGCTCGCGTCCCGTAACTGTACAAAAAATTAAAGAAACTTTGTAGAATGGACAGCAACTGCCTGTTGTAGAGACGCAAGTGTAGAGGACGACGTTTCGAAAGTCTTCCGCCTTTCGTCTTCACGAATACTCTGCCTAAACAATCTATCAAAGAAAATAACTCATGTTTCGTCAGGAAAGTGACGGTCAAAGCCTAAGAGTTGGAGTTAGGTGCTGCTGACAAGCTGTCTTCCCTTTATTCTTTAAGTTCCAAATCAGGGACGATTAGCTTAGATAGCTCTTGTACGCGAATATTTGAAAACAAACAAACAGAACACAATAACAACACGTCTAAAAGAATGCTGAAGTAACTTAGAAAAACATTTTTCAAGACTATATGTTTACTGTCGTCAGCATTTGATTGGTTACAGGCAAAAGTTACTCAAGTTTCTTATTATTATTTTCTTATAGTTGTTCCTTCAGAACCCCGGGTAACAGTAGATAATACAGTGGTTGAAAATGGAACCACTATCGGCCCATTTCTTGAAGGGAACACCATGGTTCTCAAGTGCAAGTCCTCTGGAGGAAGGCCTGCACCGGAAGTGACGTGGTGGAATGGGACCTCACACTTGCCGAAGAAGACATTACGTACCCCAGGTAACCAAGGTGGTATCGATGTGGTTTCTACTTTGCGATTTATCCTCTCACGGTGGGACTTAGACGCCAAATTGATGTGTTTTGTCAACAGCACCGCTACTTCGACATCCATCTCTAAATGGGTAAAATTAAACATCCATGGTAAGACTCACCTTCTTCTTTCCCTCTTCTGTGATGATTTATAAAAATGATGACGATCTCTAAGTTTGTAAACTAAACATTCATGGTAATGCTCTCTCCCTCTTCTGTGATGATTTATAAAAATCATAACCATTTCTAAGTTTGTAAACTAAACATCCATGGTAATGCTTTCTCCCTCTTCTGTGATGATTTATAAAAATGATGACGATCTCTAAGTTTGTAAACTAAACATTCATGGTAATGCTCTCCATCCTTACTCTTTTTTTTTGCAATTAATATTGAAAATGATGCAGGAATTTTATTAAGTCGAATATAAAATTTTCCTCCTGTCAGACATTAATTCATATCATAATAATAGATGTTTTTTTAACAAGATTCACAGATGTTACACTAAATTAATTATTAGATATTTCAGTAAGCTCTTATAACCAAGGCAAATAATGCCTAACATATAACATAAGCAACACTGATATAACAAACAGCATGTTTACTTACTGGTTGTTTGAACTACTCCTTTATTGTTGATTATAGTTCTAATTCTGAAAAATACAAGAACGATAATAGTACTTTCAGTATTCTAGTTTAATGCTGAAGATGGAATATCTCTATTAGCAAATATTTGAAACATTCATGACGATCCTCAGAAAGTTGGATTTTGTGTTGGAAGACAATAAAATAATGCCTGAGGATTTCCGTTGTGTTGTGGTTGGTTTGAGGAATGCATACTGTTGTTGTAAGTTTGGAAGCTTTCAAATCTTTTCACTAAACAAACTATATCTGATATGATCAATGAAGAACATTGATAAACAACACTACATACCAGAGTCTACACGTGAAGAACATTGATAAATAACACTACATACCATAGTCTACACGTGAAGAACATTGATAAACAACACTACATACCAGAGTCTACACATGAAGAACATTGATAAATAACACGACATTCCATAGTCTACACGTGAAGAACATTGATAAACAACACTACATACCAGAGTCTACACGAGAAGAACATTGATAAATAACACTACATACCATAGTCTACACGTGAAGAACATTGATAAATAACACGACATTCCATAGTCTACACGTGAAGAACATTGATAAACAACACTACATACCAGAGTCTACACGTGAAGAACATTGATAAATAACACGACATACCAGAGTCTACACGTGAAGAACATTGATAAATAACACGACATTCCATAGTCTACACGTGAAGAACATTGATAAATAACACTACATACCATAGTCTACACGTGAAGAACATTGATAAATAACATGACATACCAGAGTTTACACGTGAAGAACATTGATAAACAACACTACATACCAGAGTCTACACGTGAAGAACATTGATAAATAACACTACATACCAGAGTCTACACGTGAAGAACATTGATAAATAACACTACATACCAGAGTCTACACGTGAAGAACATTGATAAATAACACGACATTCCATTTTATCAATGTTCTTCACGTGTAGACTAATGTTCTTCACGTGTACACTCTGGTATGTCGTGTTAGATAAATAACACGACATTCCATAGTCTACACGTGAAGAACATTGATAAATAACACGACATACCAGAGTGTACACGTGAAGAACATTGATAAATAACACGACATACCGGAGTTTACACATGAAGAACATTGATAAATAACACGACATACCGGAGTCTACATTCAGTTCCGTTAATTTTTTTAGCTTTTGTGAGTTTCGGTAAATGAAACTAAACTGAGTTAAGCAGTTCCTTAAGATATCACTGATTCAAAAGAATACTCATGTTGAGATTACGAACATTTCATTATGTTGAGAAATCAGAACTGGCTTGTTAATAGTGTTGCATTGGAGTTTATATTAACTAGATATGTATTATTCTATCAAGACCACATTTGTGGTAAAAGCTTTCTTTTATATGATACTGTAAGCCTACCAGTCTATTAACAACTTCAATTTGTTGACTTTGGCTAAGAAAGGACCAATGAAAAAACACAGCTACAAATAAATGTTCAAAAATCTGGTAAAAACGATTAAAACAATGAGAAATATTTTACGTTGAAGGTTTCGTTTTTTCAACTTTATTTTATATTGATTACAAAACACGTACTTGGTCACAAGTCATCTCAAAAAATAATCTGAAAACAAGAGGGTCTAATTATGAAACTTAAAGATGTAGTAAGATATCCTGAAAAGAAAAGGATTTAATTAGCTATCCTGAAGAGAAAATGGTTTAATAAGGATTACTGGAAATCATTAAGTAAAACTAGATATTCTAACAATATAAGGATTACTGGAAATCATTAAGTAAAACTAAATATTCTAACAATATTAGGATTTACTGGAAATCATTAAGTAAAACTAAATATTCCAACAATATTAGGATTTACTGGAAATCATTAAGTAAAACTAAATATTCTAACAATATAAGAATTACTGGAAATTATTAAGTAAAACTAAATATTCTAACAATATAAGGATTACTGGAAATCATTAAGTAAAACTAAATATTCAAACAATATAAGGACTACTGGAAATCATTCAGTAAAACTAAATATTCTAACAATATTAGGATTTACTGGAAATCATTAAGTAAAACTAAATATTCTAACAATATAAGGATTACTGGAAATCATTCAGTAAAACTAAATATTCTAACAATATAAGGATTACTGGAAATTATTAAGTAAAACTAAATATTCTAACAATATAAGGATTACTGGAAATCATTAAGTAAAACTAAATATTCTAACAATATAAGGATTACTGGAAATCATTAAGTAAAACTAAATATTCTAACAATATAAGAATTACTGGAAATCATTAAGTAAAACTAAATATTCTAACAATATAAGGATTACTGGAAATCATCAAGTAAAACTAAATATTCTCTGAAGATATGATGCATCTTCAGGCTTTAGAAACTACTTGTGTTTCAAATGGTGTCTTTGTTGATTGCCGTATTTTACAACTAGCAAAGAACTTTACTAACGATTTTTCAGCGCTTTCTATTCCTCGTGTTCGAAATAATACTTACCATTTGAGATTGGTTTAATATAAAGTTTCTGAATAAAAACGACTTTCTAGTCCAGTAACCTAAACTTGAAAATAACCTAACTTTTTATGATAATATACACGTATGATGAAATATTATAGAGACAGTTGAGGACACATGCCAGGCAAAGACCGTGTTTATTTTTTTTCTGTTACGTAACCATTAACAAAGATATGACAATTAACACTAAGCATAAGTAGTGTGGTATGTCACTTGATAGTAATAAACTAGCAAAAGCTGACTAATAATTAACTTGTAGCTGACTCATTGCAATTCGCATGAATATTGCATCAAGATGTATCACGTGACATTCATTAACCAATGGAATCCGTTATTCGGTTCTTAAGTTTCATCTTTAAGTTTATTTTCGTGCAGAAATAAACTCCCAGAAAATTTATAATTTTGATGAACTGAACGTTTCTTTTGTTAGAACAACGTGGGTGTATGTATAAAGTAATTTGTGATTTGCTAAAGGCTAGAAGACGTTACTATTATTATTTTGTTGAGACAGAATATACATAAAAGATAACTTCTTTTTGTGGAATCTTTGATAGAAATTATCTATTGCAAAAATGAATGTTTTTTTCTAACGTTCTCCTTAGTAAAATGACAAATGACAGTTGATCTAGGTTCGTGTTGGTGTGATATTAGTTCATCTAAGTTCATGTTGGAATGTTAATGTTTAATAAACAGTTGATCAAGTTCGTGTTGGTGCGATATTAGTTCATCTGAGTTCATATTGGTGTGTTAATGTTTAGTAAACAGTTGATCTAAGTTCGTTTTGATGTGATAGTAGTTCATCTAAGTTCATGTTGGTGTGATATTAGTTCATTTAAGTTCGTGTTGGTGCGATATTAGTTCATCTAAGTTCATATTGGTGTGTTAATGTTTAGTAAACAGTTGATCTTAGTTCGTATTGATGTGATATTAGTTCATCTAAGTTCATATTGGTGTGTTAATGTTTAGTAAACAATTGATCTGTGTTCGTGTTGGTGTGATATTAGTTCATGTAAGTTCATATTGGTGTGTTAATGTTTAGTAAACAGTTGATCTAAGTTCGTATTGGTGTGATATTAGTTCATCTAAGTTCATGTTGGTGCGAATAAACTCTGGTTACATTGCAAGATTTCCCCAATGCATTATTTTTGCATGGATTGATAGGCAATTTCTTAACAATGTAGGTGTTTAGGGTTTTGTTTGTCCAGTTCCTTGTTCGTGTTTCTGTTAATAATATAATTATAAGAATTCTCAAGCAAGTTTCTAAGTAATTCTTTACAGCAAGTCAGAAAAGAGCCATTTTTGTGGCCAAAATCAATACATTTTCTTCTGCCCTTGTTGCTTGACGAACCACACGGATGTAGATGTGCATACATCATGAACGTCACGACAGAAGCCAAAAGCAAATAATGTGTTTGGCGAAATTAACGTGGAAACGAAGCGAACTTCAAGTGGAGATTGCGTGTTAGCAATGCCCACCTGGTAACATTGACATGTATCTACTTACTCTTCTTTATAATCGTAAATAACAACGAGCTTGACTGGATGTCTGACTTTTGTAGTTAGGTTGATATTGTTCAACCTTGTTTCCAAACAATCGTCTTAAGCAAAACTGAACATATGTAAAGCTACACAGTGTTTAATTTATCATTAAGAAGAACCTTGTGAGACATAACCGTACAGATTTGTCCCTTGTAAGTTACAATGGCTTCGAACTATGTAAATGCACTTATATAACCTTCTGAGACATAACCGTACAGATTTTTCCATTGTAAGTGACAATGGCTTCGAACTATGCAAATACACTTATATAACCTTGCGAGACAAAACCGTTCAGATTTGTCCCTTGTAAGTTACAATGGCTTCGAACTATGCAAATACACCTATATAACCTTGTGAGACATAACCGTACAGATTTTTCCATTGTAAGTGACAATGGCT